TAACGCGAAGGCTGGACTCGAACCGCCGAAGCGTCAGCCATTTCTGGCCGGCAACTTTCGGTGTCATTAAGCCACTGCGCCACCGCGTCCCCATATAAATATTAATTATTATGAAAGCCAATGTGGTATAGTGTTTAAGGTGCTGGACAAGGAATGGAGAGACCCAGGTTCTAGTCTTCCCTCAGCAGCAGAAACTCACTGGGAGACTTTGGGGCAGTCATTCTGTCTCAGCATTTGTTTGTTTGTTTGTTTATATTTCAAATTTAGTCACTGCCCATCTCACTCAGAGAGTAACTCTGGGCAGTTTACAATAAAAATAAGAATAAAAACCAATTAAAATACAATAAAAACAATACTAATAAATAAATTATATATTTGAAAGGAATTCATCCAAGTTCCTGAATGAAAGGCAGATATTAATCTAATAAATAAATAAATTTTTCAAGAAAACTCATTTTCTAAGCAACTGCATCTGTCTCCTTTCTTTAAGGGCAAAAAGCCTGAAATCAAAAACTTTCACAATCACATTCACTCACATATACAAAAAGTACTTCATAATACTGTAAAAGGCATTTTTTTACCTGAAGGAAATGAAGCTACACCCTATTAAAGGGAAAAGAAAAAGGCACAGAATGATCTTCCAGTTCTTGGTGTCTCTGGAAATTTCCCCATACCATTGTTTGGAAAGAAAATTCTGAAAGACAGAAATATGAGATCATTTCATATCCAGTCAAATGCCCTAATCCTTCAGTAGTACAACGGTATTTATACAATGATCTGAATAGCTCCACTAGAATTCTACTACTGAAATTAAACAGACTTCAGAGCCAAATAGACAATATACCATTTATACTTGCACGGTTTTAAAATTATAAATTGCAGGAATAGTGAAGGGGAAAGATTGATCTTATAATGGGAACTTTTTCCTTGGCACAAACAATAGACATCGGCCCTGAACAAGTGCAAGGAGCAAGAAGTCAAATCACTATCCATCCAACGCCAGATGGAGGGATACAGAGATTGTAACTTAATTTTTTAAACCCAAGTTGATTTATATACATTTCAATTAATCAATTAAACCTGCAAAGATTTGCTCATAAAACGATTCTCAACATTTTTTTCTGGTTTAGAAAATGCATACATGTGTAATAGAAGGCACAGTCTTAGAAGAAGTAATGCTTTCTTCAAAGCAGCTTCAGGGAACAATTTCTAGAGAAGAGACCCATTTAGCAAGTGAACAGGAGTTTGGTGAGGGAGATGAATGGGGAAGATTTTGTCTTCTTCTGTTCATCTGAGGAACATGGAAGAGAGAACTGTTCTCACAATTTGCAGAGGATGTGCCATTATTTATCTCCTCTCTGAAGAGAACAAGAACTACATGAGCTACAAGTTTAAAAAAATTTTTTTAAATCAAAACATTACATAGTGTAAATCCTGTAAGGGTTACCCCGTTTGACTCAGAGAAACTCTCGTGACATGTGTGTTCAGCAAAGAAGTTTACTCAAGCGTAACGTACGTAATTACAGACAAAATCAAAACATTACATAGTGTAAATCCTGTAAGGGTTACCCCGTTTGACTCAGAGAAACTCTCGTGACATGTGTGTTCAGCAAAGAAGTTTACTCAAGCGTAACGTACGTAATTACAGACAAAGCAAAGACTGGCTTGGGACATGTTACAATACAATTTATAGTTCCCCCGTTCCCATGTTTAGCCCATTGCTTGGTTACAGATTACCCGGAGTAATCCCCCCCTTCACTCAAATGGCAGATTCAGTCCAACTCTTGTGTTCTTGATTGCTTTCTATTGATGGCGTTGTTGTTGTAGTCGTTGGGTCTTTCTGTTGCTCGCAAAGCCAGGAGTTCCCCAATCATGCGCTGATTGCTTTACCTCTAATCCGCTGCTCTCCGCTGATTGCTTTACCTCTAATCCGCTGCTCTCCCCTTTTTCTACAGCTCCTGCAGCAATTTGGCATTGACACAAAGTATCCACTTGCAGTTTAGTTAAGTGGCGCCAGCTGGCCCATTAATCAGTTCTCACTTCCCCTTTCCTTGTTAGCCCTCAAGCGGTGAAACTGACTACGCAGAGCTGGGCAAGTTCCTAGCCGTGCTGTGCCAGCTGAATCTGACAAATCCCACCATTCCTTGTAGAACAATGATTCATAGAGTAATTGTTTTGTCATACAATGGATTTTACCAGAAACGTTCTCAAGCATAGCTGCAGATGGGATCTTATTTTTTATATTTATTTATTTATATTTCAAATTTAATCACTGCCCATCTCACTCAATGAGTGACTCCAGGCAGTTTACAATAAAAACAAAAATAAATAGTTTAAAATACTGATTAAAATACAATAAACCAATGTTGAATTAATAAATAACATCTTCTAAAGTAATTGATGGTGACAGTTTGTAACCTGTGTGTCTTCAATGCCTTATCATCTTGTATAGATATTTCTATTATGGTTGGTCGCACAGTCAGCCAGATGTTTAGACTGGATTTGGCATTTTTATCCACCTATTGAGTCCTTCCCAAGGATCTGGGATAGACAGATGTTGTTTGCTGGTGTTAAAGGTATTGTTCCAGTAATTCTGCAGCTGCTGGCCCTGGTCGCTCAGCCAACAGTCCTGAGTCCTGTGGCCCCCTTGTCACCAGATGTCCAGGAACTAGAATACCTAGCGTAGCCCTTGTTGACTTGGTCGATGATCAATCTGATATGGGTTTCTGTAAATTACGTCTCACCGTATTGTTTATGGGAGAGGCATTCTTCATCTGGCTCCTCTGATGAGACCTGTCCAGTATGGTTGAACCTCTT